AAATAGAACTAGAGCTGACCGTATTTTAAACCAGTACATATGCTATTTTTGCAGAAAGCCCAATATTACTGTTGGATAAAAACTAACAATCACTACAGTATCATTTAACACAAAAGGAAAACATTATAGTCAAGCGTCACTTAACAACAGGGCTACATTCTGAGAAATGTGTCGTTAGGAGATCTCGTCGTTGTACAAACGTCATAGCGTACTTACACAAACCTAGGTGGTATCGCTTACTACACACCTAGGCTATATGGTACTAATATTATGGCACCATTGTCGTATATGCAGTCCACCACTGAGCAAACTGTCGTTATGTGGCACATGACTGTACCAAGCCTCCAAAACCAGTGAAACCCAGGAAGAAGCTAGAATGTCTCCTCCCATTACTGGTACTAACCTGATGGTCCAAGCACCTGAATTCTATTTTCTTGGCCCACAGCAGCATAGTGTGGGGCCCCACAATTAGCATATATTATGAGCAGTGATGATCCATTACATGAAATGATACACGGCCTGATTTTCTCTTGGAAAGGCACGCCCGTAGGAGACAATTTTCTAGTAGTTGGGCTTGATTTCATAACCCAAGTTGCACTCTCTCACCACTATAACACACAACTCCCAAATCTTAACAGCCTGACCAAATAAAAGCTTCTCTCTTGCTTATGCAAAATCCAAAGTGAATATTCCTGCTCCAACAGCTATCCTCCAAAGAGTGGCTCAGACATCCAGGTGCCTTCCACCTTGTGCCACGGCCGTCTTCTATACTGAGCCTCCAAGGTCCCTACGGAGACCATGGGAAGGGATGAGGCAGTATTGGAAGGTCTCCTAGATACTCAATGCCTTGGCCCAGAAGTGACAGGCATCATTTGTACTTACATCTCATCAGCCACAACTAGTTATACAGCCCACCTAGACTCAAAGGGTGCTAGGAAATGCAGCCCCCACTTCCCAGCAGCAACTAGGAGCACGAATCTCCTGGTCACTCAGCTATCTCTGCAACACTTCGTATCCTCCAAATGACTCTTATACGAGTCAGCCAGAAAAGGGGTATCATCAGGATGGAGCAAAGCCAAATAGCTCATCTAGAGACTGAAGCCCTGGTCTTGGTCTTCTTATCAATGTTCAGGAAGTACACAAATTTTCTGTTGTAGGGGGCAATACCTCACAATTATCAAAATCACTGTGAACATAACTGGAAAAAAAATCAGAAGCAGGTCCCCTGGGTCAGGAAAGTAGCATTCCAATGAGGTTCAGAGAGGAGAGAAGTTAGGCAGAGCCAGACACAACAGGTATGGGAAGATAACTTGCGTCCCGAGGCAGTCAGGGACAGGACTTGATCAAAGGGGCTGTTCTTGTCATTTGAGCAGTTCTAGCTATCTCAAGAAGGCTGCAAATTAGCACACAGGTGGAGGCCCTAACGTAGATCCGTCATTAACTAACCACCAAACTAAGTGGAGAGTAAACCTACATCAATAACACGGTGCACTCCCAGGAGATAAATGTAGCGTACTCTACTGGACCATATCCCAGCCTAAGGTTTGATACCACAGTAAGTGACATCAATTACAGCATCCTGGGAGAACAGCTTCCATGGTCAAAATGTTTGGGAAGGCATGAGACAGTTACACAGGTTTCCTTCCTGCAGGATGGCTGCATCTTTGATATGTTCACAAGCACTGTGAACCTCCAGGAGGGAGACTCAGCACGCACTTGAGAAAGGAGAGGAGGCTGCTCTGTGTAAATACACTCCACACACACAGTAAGTTAGCTAAAGTCATGGCTACGAATTCTGCTAAAGTAGAGAAATGGGCACTTCAACCAAAGGAGTCAAGGCATATCTAGAAGGGGTTTCTTCCACACACACAAAAAAGAGAAGACATGTTTTGTTCTCCAAATACTGGAAGTAACCAAGCAACTGACCCTCACTTGCTGAATTTGATAGTTCTACCGAATTCAAGACTCTCATCTTTCAAGATGAATGATGGATGCTAAAAAAAAAAAAAGCTGGTCCTTCTCTGGGCCACAGGCACAGAGAGATGACCACCGCCTCTGCTAAAAGCAAATGGGATGTCCCTCAAAAAATGAAACATAGAATTACCATATGACCCAGCAATTCCACATCTGGGTATAGACCCAAAAAAGTGAAAGCAGAGACTTGGACAGATATTTAGATACCTCTGGTCATTACAGCATTATTCAGAACAGCGTAAAGGCAGAAACGACCCAAATGCCCATCAACAGATGCATGGATTAACATAGCATGGTATATGCATACAATGGAGTTTTAACCTTTAAAAGGGGTGTTCTGATACGTGGTGCAACATGGATGTACCTTGAAGATTATGTTAAGTGAAGTAAGCCAGACACAAAAAGACAAATACTGTACAATTCCACTTATATGAAGTATCTAGAACAGGCAAATTCATAGAGACAGAAAGCACAGCAGCAGTTACCAGGGGCTGGGGGAGTGTGAGATGGCCAGTTATTGTTTAAGGGGTAGAGAGTTTCTGTTTGGGAAGATGAAAAAGTTCTGGAGATGGATATTGGAGACGACGGCACAACAGTGCGAATGTACTTAACGCCACTGAAATGCACACTCAGAAGTTAAAACGGCCAATATTATGTTATGTATTTTACCACAATTTTTTTTTAAAAGCCAATGAGATGCTCCCGCCCCTCACAGCCCATGGCAGTTTTCTTTCACGACAGCGCCCACTTGTTCTTGCTCAGGTTGAAGGCCTGCCTGTGGTTCTCCTGCAGCCCGCTGAATCACCCAGGCACTGGTGACACATAACCTCCAATTCAGACCCACACAGGACCACAGAAAACGGCACAAGGAGATGGAAAACAAAATCCAACCCAGCCTTGACTTGTTACGAGAACGGGAGATAGGAAGTGCTTGATTTCACATCTGCGATCTTCCCTAAAACACACGTAGAACAGTTCAATGGTCCCCCTGCCTTGTAAGCAATTTTCTAGAACAGCACTGTCCAAGGGGACCTTCTGTGATGAGGAAAATACTCTCTCTTTTCACTGTGCCTGTTGAGCTCTTGAAATGTGGCTAGTGCAAATCAGGAACTAACTCTACCTTGCTGCATTTTAACTACTTTAAATGTAAACAGCCATGTGTGGCTAGTGGCCACCGCAATGGACAGCGTGGTTTTAGAACTTTTACAAAGAAGCCAAAGGGACAGATTCATATCTTTTTGGTGGAGATGCCAAAAAGCTGTCAGGGGTAGGGATCAGAAAGGCAGGAGAGATGGCGGGGGTAAGGGGGGGTTGTCTGTTTAATCCATAAACCCATTTATTCGAATCGGATATATGAAAACATATCCTTTGTCAAACCTATGAAAAGAATTTATTAGTTATAATGATGTACTGAGAAATGATTTATTCAAGACCAGGCCAAGGTCAACCAAAGGAGCTATGCGGTGCAGCTGAAAACTCTAGGCCATTGGGGCCCAGAGAAAGAACAAGGGATGTGCCTGCTGTGTAGCTCTGGAATTGAAAGCCCAAGATTCCTAACAGAGTGAACCTTCACCGGCCACCCGAGGGCACGGTCGTGTTAGCAGATGAGGGCTTGTTTTACACACACAGCCCCCACCCCAGAGAAGCAAAGCCACTGCGCACCAGTTTTTCAGAGTTGGCACCAGGAGGCTATAGTTGTGCCTAATTGCACAAGGGACATTTAACCCTTCAGGGAAGAGTCTGTTCAAACTCCAACTTTGGAGGAAAATGAATAGAAGTGGAGAAAACAGAATGATTCCAGATGAAGTGGGCTTCTGAACAACTTTTCTAAAAGATGTTGTGCTGAATAGTACACTCAGAGTGGTCAGAAATGTCAAGAGGCTGTTTTCAATGGGCCCAGCTGCCACTTGTTTGAACAAGCCTGACACCCCGCCCCACTTCCAGCTGGGGAGATTTGCTCTGCAGAGAATAGATCCATGTTACCTCCAGCAAAGAAAAGATAGTAATAAATCCAGCTTACTACTTCAGCATGGCGTGGCCAGGGTCTTAAAGAAACTCCCCGTTTACCTTCTCAGATGCTTCTAGGTTTAGGGTAGGCACGGCTACTCTCTTTTCACTGGTGAAGAAACCAAAGAGCAAGGACTCCCAGGTAATTACGCTCTCGCGTACAACACTTATGAATGTCACCCAAGTGCCAGAGGCCTAGATTTTAAAGGTTCGATAAGGAAAACAGCCAATCAATACTCCATTCCCCACCTAGAGAAACTCTTGCCAACCTAAAGTATTGATTTTATGGCTGGATTCTCATGGCACACTTATTACAGTGAGCTTAGAGATCTAGTGTCCCATCCCAGCAACGGAGGAGACCCTGAAGCCCTGAATGCTTGTGCATTGCGGGATAAAATCTATCTGCCACACTGGTGCTAGAGCACAGCCCTACTGTCAACATGTGTTGGTGGATGGGAATTAAAGTGTGCAAAAGAACACTGGCGCATTTCCAAGAGGCACCCCCCCACACACACATACACACACTTACATACTCTCAATTGTAACACACCAACTCCCACTCTTGGGTGCAGAATGGAATCACCTGGGAAGCATTAAACAATCCTGAGGCCTCAGATTCTCATGCCACTGGTCTGGGATAGCCCGGGCATGGGGAGTTTTAAAAGCTCCCCAGGTGATTCTCATGTGTAACCAGGGCTGGGACCCACTGCTGCAAGGGACATCCAGGAGGGAGGAAGTAAAAGTTGGATAAGTGGTGGGCAGGGAGACTGTTTCTTGGGTCATCTGATGTCTAAGGAGACTGAAGAATAAAGAGGTCTAAATGCCAGTGTCTTCTGTTTTCTTATCTGTAGAGAGTACAACGCTGCCTACTGTCCCCTGCCCAAAAGGCAGGGCGGTCCCGTCGAAATAGCGGGACGTCAGGGCGTGCTAGGATGGGGGGGGCGGGGGGACCGGGGCGCGTGCGAGGATAAGGAAAGCAGGCAGGAGCAGGGTGGGGGCGAAAGAGGCACCCGCCTCACCTGCATCGTAGAAGGCGTCGAGCACGGCCGTTTCCCCGAAGTCGAGCTCCCCGAAGGGCACGGAGGTCAGGTGGGCGCCCTCGGCCTCGCAGGCCCGCAGCAGGCACTGGCGCGCCCCCGCCTCGGGGCCGCCAGCCGTGCCACCCTGGGGGCTCTCGCTGCGCACGTATACTGCCCGCAAAGCCCGCTGTGGCCCGCCCTCGCCCCCGCCCCCAACGCCCTCGGCCGCCCCGTCGGGCTCCGCCGGTGCGGCCGCGCCCTCGCCCCCCGGAGGCAGCGGGCATTGTGGAGACTCGGCCGCCGCCCCGAGCGCCCCAGCAGGGGCAGTCCCGCCGCCGCTCTCCATGTGGCTGCCCTGCGCGCCCTTCCTTGGTCCCACCTCCGCGCGAGTGGCTGGCGGCTGCGATCGGCGGGGTCCCACAAGCAGTCCCGGCACCTGCTCCTGGGGCGCGGGAGGGAGCTGGGGACCCAGCGCGCGCCGGGGGCCCCGCGGCTGGCAGGTGACGGAGGAGCCCCTCCGCTGCGGACAGAAGCTCGAGCCCCACAGACCCCGAGCGCCCTTTGAAGGCCTGGGGGGAGAGAGGCGGGGGCTGGGGACGTCAGGACGAGCCGAGGGCGAGGGGAGGGCTGGGACGGGCGGCGGGGCAGGAGCGGGCAGGGCGCCCCCTGCCGCGTCCCCTGGGCAGCGTCCGGAGAAGGGCGGATTCATGCATTGCAGGATTTTGTTGTTGTTGCTTTCCCTGCAGCCTGACCAACAGTGGGAGCCCCAATTTCTTTTTTCTCAAAACAATTTGAGGCTTTTCAAGCAGAGCTAAAAACTCTTTCAAGGCGCTGGTTGGACATAAATATTCAACTCCAAACTCAATAGGAAGGTGGTTTTAACCAGAATTGAGCTGAGCAGATGCTTATTTAGAACGCCTGATTTTGCATTCCTTGTCCCCAGTTGCCAAGATCATGGGCCTCCTGAGCCCAGTCCTGGGGACCCGCTCATCCTGACTTTCAGTGTGACCTTGACAAAGCACCAGGATGCACCAGCAACAAACTTTGTTTAAATAGACTCCACGGAGGCTGCCTGCCCAACCTATGCAATGCTGTGAGCCCAAAGGGATCGTCACCCTAGAGCTTGCCCACCGCACGATTTTAGGCCCAAATATTAAAAAGTAGTATTACCACTGCAGGTAGTACCTGAACTTAAAAGATGGGATGCACTAGACGTCGTCGCAAGGCTTTGGGATTTTTTTTCATTTTTAATTGTTTTATTGAGATATAATTCAGAAATCATCCCATTCACCCATTTAAGTGGTTTTTAGTATAGTTACAGAGTTGAGCAGCCATTACCACACTCAGTTTTAGAACATTTTCATCCTCTCCCCCCCAAAACCCAGTACCCATTAGCAGTCACTTTCCATTTCCCTCCCCAACACCCCTCAGCCTTAGACAACCACCAGTATACTTTCTGACTCTGTAGGTTTGCCTATTCTGAACATTTCATATACATGGACTCATACGTGTGTGGACAGAGGTTTTCATTTGTCTTGGGAATAGACCTAGGAATGGGATTTCTGGGTCATTTGGCAACTCTGTGTTTAACCTTTGGAGAAATTGCCGCTGTTTTCCACAGCAGCTCCACCATTTTACATTCCCACCAGAGCATACCAGGGTTCCAATATCTGCACGTGCTCGCCAACACTTGTTATTGTCTGTTTGATTATAGCCATCCTAGTGGGAATGAAGTGGTACCTCATTGTGATTTTGATTTGCACCTCCCTAGTAACTAATGAGGTTGAACATCTTGTCATGTGCTTATTTGCTATTTGTATAACTTCTTTGGAGAAATGCCCATTTGGAAACTTTGCCCATTTTTAATTGTGTATTTATCTTTTTATTGTTGAGTTGTAAAAGTTTTGTTATATATTGTGGGTACAAGTCCCTTATCAGATATGTGATTTGCAAGTATTTTCTCCCCTTCTGTGGGCGCTCAGTTTCTTGATGGTGTCCTTGGCAGCACATCACAAGCCATTTTGACACAAGCAGAATAGGACTTAACCTTACGAAACAACAATTTGGCTTCTCTTCACGTTTCGGTAATAATACAGCCCATCCCTCCACCCCACCCCCAAAAGAAAGCAGAAACTGCCAGTATAAATCTTTGAAGAAATCCTGCCCTAATTCCAGTCCTGGTAGGAATTAGGAACTTGACAAATGACATCAATGTGCACCCTCTTTTGTGGCCAATAAATGGAAGATAGGCTCTGAGGAAATCTACAAAAACACACAGACCAGAGTTGGGAAGAGCAAAGCTAGGGAAAACTTTCAACACCTCTAAGATTTTTTTTTAATATGATGCTATAAAAGGACACATTCTTTGCAACCTTGTAACGCATAATAATAGTAATTTTCCTAATGTGCCTGTTTGAGATTATTCCAATGACTGGCACAGCCTTCAGAGGGGCAAAGGTGCCCATTTCACAATTGCTTACCAGTCTTGCTGTTGTCCCCACTTCGGTCTTCCCACATTCCTTCCAGCTCTCACTGGGGTTCTGCTGACTAAGGCACACAGGTTGTGTGAATTCTGGCTTGAATAGTATCTGCGTCTAAACACAAACGCTGCTGAATAAAGAACCCAGTATTTACTCAGCTAATGAGCGTCTCCCCGGCAGTTGGCACACACAAGCCACCTTCTCATTGTCTCCAGTAATTTGCACACCTGAAACATGCCCCGGCCCCTTCTCCCAAGGTCCTTCCTGCCTCCCCGCCAGCCCCGCTGAGGAGAAAATTGCAAAATGCTGGATTAGTCTCTTCTGTTTAGTTGAACAATTGTTCCATTCTTACCCCTTCCTTGCCTCTTACTAAGTGCATGTCCTGGAAACCCCTTTGCCCCAACGCAGAGATGTCGTTTGGACTAGAACAGTGGATTGAAGAATAGAGTGGAGGCACTGTAGCTAAAGAGTAAGATTAAATCTAGGCGTTTTTCTCATTTCCTTTCTTTTATTTTACACTTGTTACTCATACCAATTGTGGTCAAACTAGTTAGTTCTTTGACTCATTCAACATTGTAAAAAATATTTTAGCTACCATGCATGTGGCAGCTTCATTCCTTTTTTCATTGTACCCAAGGGCCAGTAGCAAATAGTGACAAAAGAGAAACAACCATGTTGCACAATATTATATGTATGTGCTGGGAAAACGTTAACATATACAGTAATTCAACAAGATTTATAGAACACCTATTCTGTGTCAGGCACTGTCCTTGGTGTTGAGTATGTCATAGTGAACAACACAGCCAAAGTCCCTGCTGTCATGTTAGATGCAGATGCTGAGATAGAGAGAGAGATGGATATGGCTAAGACCTGTGTATGGATGCTATAAATATTGTATGGACATAGATTATTGTAATCTGCCATAAAATACAAGAAAAATGAACTGGATGGATGAAACTCCTAAGAAGTGTTAAGCATAGACTGTATGTAAAATGCTAGCTTATGAAATATAGGTGAAACTCATATGTTTTAAGTATATGTAATGAATAAGTAGCTTGTGAGAAAGGTGGACTTCATAAGATGTATTAAAAATTGTAACATATTTCCAAGACATACTACAGACGGAATATATGATGGACCAAACAAGAGTGTTACTTATAGATAGATAGGGATGGAAAGACCAAGTCGTTAGGTATGAGCATGAAATCTCTGAACTGACAGTTATGTCACCTCTAAATAGACCACCCATTGGTGGCACGCAGTATAGTCCCATTCTCATCCCACGTGTCCTCTACCTTCTTGAACATACGGAATATGGTTATAATAACTGTTTGAATGTTCTTGTCTACCAATACTATCATCTGTTTTATTGCTGGATCATTTCTATTAATTTTTCTCCTCATTGTGGGTCATATTTTCCCACTGTGCCTGTCTGGTAATTTTTTATTAGATGCCACACATTGTGAATTTTACCTTAATGAGTATTGCAGATTTTTGTCTTCCTATATTCTTTTCTTATTCTTCTCCTCCCCAAAGCCCCCCAGAGCACAGTTGTATATTCTAGTTATGAGTGCCTCTGGTTGTGCTACGTGGGACACCACCTCAGCATGGCCTGACGATCGGTGCCATGTCCACGCCCAGGATCTGAACCGGCAAAACCCTGGGCCGCTAAAGCGGAGCACACGAACTCAACAACTTGGCCACGGGGCCGGCCCCTTATAAATATTCTTGAGCTTTATTCTGGGACACAGTTAAGTTACTTGGAAACAGTTTGATCCTTTTCAGCTTTAAGTGAGATGGGAGCAGCTTTTAGGCTAGGGCTAATTAATCCCCTCTACTGAGGCAATCCCCTCTGAGTACTGTCCCCAGTGTCCTGTGAATTACAGTGTTTTCCATTCTGGCCAGTGGAAGCAGAAACTATTCAGGCCCTATGGGACCTCCACGGATCATTCCCTCTAATCCATTCAGGTGGTTCTTTCCCCAGCCTCAGGAAGTGTCTTTATACACAGGTGCTGGTCGCTACTCTGCTGAAGATTCCAGATCTACACATCTCTGGAACTCTTTGTGTGGCTCTCTCCTCTCCGGTACTCAAACCGTAGCCTCTTTGGTCTCCTTGGACTTCCAGTGCCATCTACTCAACTCAGGAGACAACTGGGCTCCCTTTCTCAGCTCTATGGTCTGGAAACTCTCACGAGGCAGTAAGCTGGGAAATTGTGGGGCTCACTTTGTTTGTTTCCCTTTCTCTGGGATCTCTGTCCTGTGTTCTGCTTGTATAGGATTTTTGCAACTTTTTCTGAAAAAGTCTGAAATTCTTTTAGGATGAAAAGACTTAAAAGTTTTTTTGTTTTTTTTTTTTAAAGATTGGCCCCTGGGCTAACAACAGTTGCCAATCTTCCTTTTTTTTCTTTTTCTTTGTTGCAGGTGCTTCTATTTGTGGGACATGGGACGCCGCCTCAACGTGGCCTGACGAGCGGTGCCATGTTCGCGCCCAGGATCCGAACCCTGGGCTGCCGCAGCGGAGCGTATGGACTTAATCACTCGGCCACAGAGCCGGCTCCTAAAAGTTTTAAAATTGAAAAGGAAAGCACTTCTCCCCTCTCCAGTCTAGGCCTGCTATAGGCTGACCACTTATGGCAGAAAAAGGAGGAGCAAAATTGGCTTCTTCTCTCCTCTTCCACCTTGCTAGGCACCTGTACAAGGTGGGGGCTATGTAGCAGGAGGATCTAAGACAACCCCACTGATGGCTTTCTTGCGCTGGGACCACATGTGGTCCCGGGGAAACACATACCCTTCGCCCCACAACCTCTGGGAGTTCTGGCTGCTCCCATCCAGCCCCTCTTTCACTGCAACCATTTGAGCATCCAGCCAGCCACCTCACCCTCTAGATTTCTGAGGTATGGCTCAGACACTTGTCCTCTATGTCCTGAAAACCTCTTGGGACATTTGTAGCAAACTATCTTTGAGTCCTTTCCCTAGGCTCATGATAAGTAGTAGGCAACACTCCAAGACCCTAATTGGCAGGAACTCACCAGCACACCATTATGTCCCCCAAAATACTCTTCTAATTGCCAATTTCCTTTTCTGGGAATGTCCAGCCCCACTTTGAAGCTGAACATTTTGTTTCTGGTGCAAGACCGTC